TGCTGCTTTTGCTTTTGCTTCCTTCTATGAGGGACCTGGGGGAACATTTCAGAGGAGCAAGGGGGCATTCCAATGTAGCATACCGCATACCTTTTGTAAGCCACCCGCAGGTAGAATTTAGAGGAGGAAAGGGCCATTCCAACGTATCATACCCTTTATGAGCCAATGGAGTCAATGGAGGGCAAATTTTAGAGGAGGAATGGACGATTCCAATGCAGCATGTGTGTGCCAGTGTGTGTGTGAGGAGGAGGAACCTTTCCAGCGTAGCGTAGTCGTGAGCCACCCGACCATGAGTTTAGAGTAGGAAGGACCCACTCCAATGTAGCATTGCACTCTCGTCCTCTCTCCCTCTTCCTCTCTCCCTCTTCCTCTCTCTCCCTCCCTCCCGTTCGCTCCTTTTCACTGCTTCTAAAACACTCCCAGAAAAGTATCAAAACTGTCCGGGAAAAATTCAGCATCACCCAACCAAAACCTTCGCCAGGACCGACGAATGGAAACAATGATGAAGACTGCAGCACCTCGGAGGGAGTTGGCTTAACATTGAAGCCAGGACATAGCCCGTCTTCAACTGCAGCTGGAGAATACCAAATGAATGATGAGAATGGAGAACTCCGTCCCCACACTTTTGGTTCCTGTCACCGGGTGGAATTCACCCACACTCTCGCCGATCGCCAGAGGTTCGCGTCCTGGAGGCCGGCGTGGCGGGTGTGGACGTGCAAGTCCTTCAGGTGCCCAACAGCAACGAACAAGCTTGGTGCCTGGGCCCAGTGCAGATTCGGGCCTGATTAGGGGATGATGGTAGGGACAAGATCCTGAAGTATGATTAGAAAATGGGTCAAGTAAGAAATGTGAGAGTTGATCTGGACAACTGGGATAGTAGCAATGTGTTGATCGATGCTTTTTCGGTGTTTGAAGATGTGATCGGCCCTTGGAGAACATGAAACTTTGGGAACCACAAACAAATTGCCACAAGTCGATAGCACGGATTGCTTCGGTGCATCGATTGGGGGGCTTGCAATTTTTTGGTGATATACACGAGAAGAAGTCCAAGAAGATTATCATCGAACCTGAGAATGGACCTTTGGATGTTTAGTTTCCTCGACAAACCAGTGGTTTTCAAGGTCCATGTTAACCTTCCAGGGCGTACATGTTGGACTTGTCCGAGTTACTGTACTGGAATCAAATGCGAAGTCAAATTCACCCGTCATTCGACGACTTGGGTTTTTGTCAAAGAATATCAAGGAGTTCAGCTGTTGCAGGGTGCATAATCTCGATTCATCAGTTGTAGTGTTGCAGGTTTGGCTTACACCAACACATTGACCAGCACGCTAAGGATTGACTTTACTGAAGCTGCAATCCTACGGGGTGAGAAAGGCGCAACTGGCAGATCTGGGGATTTGGGGAAGCACGTGCTCATGCAGATCACCCTTTTGTCCAGCAAATCCACGAGTTCCATCGCACCATCCCCATTGTTGGGGTTGGTGCTGTTGGCGCAGGAAGCTTCACTGTCGAAGCACCGGCGATGATTTGCCCGGAGTACAAGTCCAGGTACAAGAAGCTTGGGATTGGGATTGGCTACTGTACTAGTATGCGTTTCACTGGAGTTTGCCTCAAGGGCCTTGGGACTTTGATGGTCAGCTTTTCCTTTGTTGCGTAGCAATCCCATACTTTGCAAGGTTCAGGTATGTGAGACAAAACGGAAAAAAGATGCGAGAAAACACAATTGAAAAACCTATAATTATAATGCATACAGTTTTGTTCGACGATGTGATGCTGCCCTAGCGGTCCTAGCCTTCTAGTTACATCACCACCACCATGCCCGATGATTTCTCCCACATTCCCCTTACTAACCATTAGTAGTACGTAACGGTGCTTCATATTGCTTCTATTTGTCCAAGGAGTGCCAAGGATGCACGAACTAAGGAGTGCGAAGGATGCTGTGGTGGGCTTTGCAACTGTTCCTGGGATGCACGGGCGGCCAGCTTAACAAGTTCAACCGTTCACATCCATCCCTTCAGCCCCTGTGGCCAGCTGGGTCATGGCACCTTGAGCCCCAAACGGTGGGTTGACATCCTGAATATAGAGGAATCTGTTCATTTGATCCGCGGTCAACCAGGGTATCACGCGGTTGTGACCCACAGTCATATGTGGGGCTGGATGTCTCGAGAGACATCGTATCAACAATCACTCTTAGATACACCCGTCGCTTGATTATGTCCAGGATTTTCCCCTTCCCGGGACGCCATGGGTTTCATCGCTTTATATACTCAGGTTTGTTATGTACGTGACACGTGGGCGCCCAGGAAGTCTACCTCCTGGTGCCACCCTCCTCGAGGCAGTCGGCAGCCCAAGCACTGGTCACTGAGCTGGAGGAGGTGTCCCAGGCCAAGAAGCGAGGCCGCTGACTTGGTTCCCATTGCTGAAGGGCAATAATGAGGAAGTCCATTTCTTTTGCCTTTGATTTGCTGGCTTCATGGCTTGTGATGCCATGGCACATGCTTCACCGGAACTGGTGATGGGGTCGGCTTTTGCATCACTAGAGGGCCAAGGTTTGAGACTGGTAGTCTCGCGGGGGTTAATTAACAACCACAACACAATCCCAACCCCCCACCCAAAGCAAGCTCAATCACAAAGTGCAACCACAACGAACTCAATCCCACCCAACTCTCAAATGTTTGCGAAGCAAGTCATGGAAGCATCAGCATCTTCGTTGCGTGAGCCACCAACCTACTCTTATCAAACCGCCAGCCACTGTGCAAGATTTGCTCGTGCAGTTTGTTTGATTCCGGGCATTTGTAGGACAGAGCATATTTGACAAGTTGACAGTCGAAATGACTACGTACCTTATAAGGAACAATCATGTGCTCCATGAAAAAGACATTCCAGGAACGTTTGTCAGACCAACAAACCCCACGGGGATCTATCGCTTATTTTACATGCCGCATTCTGCAGACTTGTTGCTAGCAAGTGGTCAATGGCAGGTATAGGACAGACTTTCCAAGATGCTCCTTGCAATGCATTATGAAGCGGCGATATGTGGTGCTTTTTTCCTCCCTTTTGTTAGCTGGGAATGCAGAAGGCGATTAATTCGCAGACTGACAAATCAGGTCGTTCCGTTGGGCATGTCAGCCGTCGTAGGTGCCACCAACGCTGCTGGACGGTATTGTAATGTTGTAGGTGTCGCTGGGCTACTTTGCTTTGGAGGTTTGTTGCCTTGCGGAGTTTGTTCTTGAACATCGGGTGGTGTACACTCGGGCACCTACCCATATTCTACACCGCAATGTTTCACGGACTCACTATAAGGATCCGCACAAAGAAACTCCAGCCCAATAGTTATCCGAGAGAACTGGGCCCCTCCCAGGCCCCAGCACCGCTTCATGCTCGAATGAACTCTTCTGAAGGTGTTTGTGTGCGTGGCATATTTTTTGACTGGAAAATGATCTTTTTGAGGGGAACATATGTTTGGTACACCCCTGAGGAGCATTTTGTGTGTGTGTGTGTTTGTGTTCTTTTTTTTTTTTGTGTGTGTGTGTGTCAGCTTTGTGAACACCGAGGTCTGGGGGAAACTCCCGTGGCGCTGTGATGCCACTACCCAAGAGAAGCTGGAGGCGGCATGCACCCGCGCGGCAGGACTGCTGGTTTGATGAAGGCTGGAACGGGCGGGTGGCGAACGCCCCGGGCTTCATGAAAAGGAAGCATCGACAGCCAAAGCTCCGGTCTGCCGGTTCCCCCTGCACCAAAAAGAGGTGTGTCAGGATGTAGCAACTGTGGATGTTTTTTTCATCTCTCCGCAGCACATGCATTCACATGCATGCACATGCTGTCCCTCTTGAGCCAGTTTCTTTCGGGCCGCTTTCCAGCGCTGCAGGTGCGAGGAAAGAACGACCTCGAGCCATGGCAATTGCCCGAGCAGTCGGTAGAAGTGGACAGCAGCTGGTGAGACGTGTGCGAGGAAAGGCCGACCTTGGCAATCGAAGTCAGAAAGTGGCCGTGAGGCTTGGGAAGAAACATGAAACTGTCGGGATCCAAATTTTAGACCCGAGCAACTGAAAAACTGGGCCTTTCCGAGCAATTTTCGCAGCCTAGCTGGCAGATCCCGAAAGGGATGCTGACGTTGACTGCAACTCTGGCAACTGCTGCCTTGTACCAGGCCTGTCAGGCGTGAAACTGACCAGAAAGTGTTTTTCTCAGAAAGGCTCGTGCAGTGTGAGGGAATTGATTTGATAATTTACTAGAGGTAAATGCAAGATACATTCTATCGTGACATGTCCGCATCAGCCAATGAACAGGACGATGCCAAGTCTGTACTTACCCGGCTTTTCCGCCTTCACCTTTCACGAAGATGAGTCGTGGCTGGTGGGCATTGTCGGCTGCCGATCACCGTTCATTTAACGAAGCGTGCAAAAAAGCACAACCCAGCATTCAATTGTACATGATTGGAGCGTACCCCCCGTCAATGAGTGGCACCTGAATATGATTGAACAATGTTGAACATGCTTATATAAACTGTCCAGAGGCCAATGCAGATGTTGCTGCTCTTGAAGTACGCCGGCTACCATTGAGTAACCTGCGATGTTCTATGGATGGATGGGGATATAATATGTCTGAGGCGCAGGGATGACACGCAATCCAACCGGGGTGTCCAAGATTCTTTTGATCCACGTTTGGGTAACTCTACTGATATAACCACTTGCCCACCGGGCCGCAGCTGACTTGTCCAGAAGAGCACCCAGGAACACTGGAAGTCCATAAATGACGTGTCTAGACAGCTACGCAGGTGCACCCTCTAACAAGCAAAGCCAACTCGAAGTTTGCAAATGTGTGCTGTGGTTCTGGCGTTGACTTCCGCCGTCCAGATATTCCAAGACCACACATACACAAACAAAAAAGACAGATCAATCTACTGTAGAGCTGGCCAAACTCCTTCCAGACTCAGCCCAAACCACACATCAAACTCACAGAATACTGGGACAGTCAGAGACGGCTCAGTGCTGTGGGCCATGGCATCGAATCTCGGCTTCATACACCCGTTGCCCGGTCGCTGCGGACGGTCCTTCCTCAGAGACCTTCCATCGATGGGAAAGCTGCGCAGATGGAAATCACCCCATTGTCCGCACCCCAAGAAAATGAACTTGGAGATGCCCCCGCACAACAAGTCATTCCATGAAATTCCCCTGAAATTCCCCTGCCAGGTTCTGTGGTCCCGTCGAAGTGAGTGGCTGAGCAACCCGTGAAAGACTGCACATGTTGAGATCGTAGACCTTGGTAGATCATGCCAACTGTGCAGTGTAGGTAAATCATGCAAGCTATTGAACGCTGCCCAGGGTGGAAGGACTGAGTCACCAAGAGACTTCCTCGGTGAGTGTGACAGAGTGCCACCTAGGAAACGGCCAAAGAAGTTTGTCAAGCACGGAGTGGAGATCACGTTTCTGGGAAGAGTTGGGAGCGGTCTGGCCAGTGGAGATCGCGAGATGTGGAGAATGGGAGGGTGCAGGATGCTGCAGGGCTAGATGAGTTCCACCGATTCAACAAATTGAGCGGTGGCTTAGGCCTTGAACAAGGTGCAGGGAATTTGCACAGGCTGTGCCACATGTGTGAGAATTCACCTGCAGTTTGTGGTCAATTAGGGCCTTAAATGGCGAGATGTGGTGTGATCTAGGGAGTTTGGAACATTTAGATCTTTAAAAGACATGATCACTGTGGCCAACAAGTCCAGCTGACCACTGTGCCGAGCCAAGGTACCTTTGTGGGGGTGAAGTCCCATATGTTTGTATGGAGACTGGGCTTGGGACCCTAGACTCCCAACAGCCGCGGCCGTCCTGTGGCGGTGGACAAAATGACGTACGCCGTGCTTAGGGTGCTTCCTAAATACCATGTATGTTGGGTGTGTCCCGTTACTTGCAGGTAAACAAGTACCACTCAGTATCACCCTCACATATTATCAATATAGTTTAGAGAAAGGCCTTTACTCATCATCATCATCATCATCATCATCATCATCATCATCAGCTACAGGGAATGGGATATACCCAACATGCAACATGTATATGCTTTAACTCCTGCCACCATCCTGCCTTGCATTGGCCATGCGGACGCATGTGGCGTTATGTGGCATGATTGTCCTTGAACCTGTTCAATAGTGCGTGATAGGAAACCAATTGTGACAAGGGACCATTGACAGTTCATGACGTTCCAAATGTGCCAGGTCACCTTTCCATGAGTACGCCTCCAGCATGCTTCAAGCAGCCTTGAGCAGCGGGATGAAGGCTCAACCGGCCTGTGTCGGAGCCAGGTCCATTCCTCCAGGTCTTTTGTGATTCCTTTGGTTTGTTTAGCGATGCTGGCTGCGTGACTCTATAGACTCTAGGTATTTGCCTTTTTTAAAACCATTTTTGCTGCAATTCCTTCACCCACTGCAGAGCTCCAACACGCAACACAACAGTGGCCGTACATGTGTTAGGGGTATCGTAACACGTGATGGCCACTCTCTCGATCTCTAACTAACTGGTGGCCAGTTTGTCGTTGTTTTTTGGATGAGGCCGATGGCCTCTATGGCTATTGCAATGACTCCAGAGTTCAATCTGCCACTTGGCCACCGGGATTCGGAACTCCACCTGACAGAGAAGACCCGAACGACTGCTGGGTCTTCTTGGGGCAGCTGCCGGACGCGTTTTGGGTGGTGAGCTGGTGTTCTTCCATCACTACGTTTTGGGCAGGAATTTGATAGAGATGCAGTAAACCGTTCTTCGAATAAGATTCAACGAAAAGAAGAGGCAACAGAAACGGGCCGGCTTGGCTTGCGGAATGAGATGAACTGAGTAGATCTGGAGCTTTGTTTCAAAAGCACTTTGGCCATGCAGCTGGACAAATATCGAACACAAAACAACAGAAACACTTTGGTGAGGGGTGTGCGCAGCCAGCTCACCGTCAGCCTTTGCTGGTCTCGTGATGGAGCAAGGTGTTTCGTGAGGCTGGCCTGGATGGTTTGGATCGTTTTTGCGCCTGTCACTTGACTTCAGGAGCTACACCGAATACATCTGCGGCCAGCGGACTACATGTTGGCGGAGGCATGGTTCGCTCTCCCCGGTTCCGGTGCAACTAGTACTAGTCATCCTCAAATAGACGCCGTGGTCCTTACAAATTGATACATGATGGATCATGATGGTGTACCTTATCTGTAAGAATTCACCTCTTTTCGTGGTGGTGCTCACAGAATATGCTTTGATTATCTTTGATTTGCATTTTGATAGAGCTCACATCGATTGACCACGTAACGTTTGAGGAATGTTCCATGCTGTTTATACTGTAAGACAATTGCTTATAGAACATATTTAAAGAAAAACATAGGTTTTTCTCCCTGGTCAGGTTGTTCTAAGCGCATAGGTTAGAGTGCATGGTGTCTAGAATGTGGGACACACATGCACACACACAGACATATATAGAACATGACACCGCACACACAGAACAACGCCCGCAAGTACACATAGAACATGTGGAAGGCTTTGTATAAAAACACCTTTAAACTTTAACAAACACTTGAGACATCATGCAAGTCTCAGCGCTCGGGATTCCATGTGGACATACATTTATATATAGTTATAGGCTGCAATCACTTAGAATATTCCCTGGTGCCCCTGGGGGCATTAGAGTCATTAGAGATTACTGTATTCTACTTTGTTTGGGAAACAGTATATATATAACTTAGAATATTGTTTGGATTAGAAGTTGAAGGCTTTAGGCAGGTCTATATTGTCCTAAGTGTGCTGGCGCTTCATGCCATGTTCTAAGCAAGCGCTTCCTTGATGTTCTAAGTACGCATTCCTGGATGTTCCAAACACAATGTTCTAAGTAAAGGGTTTCAGATTTTTGGACACATGATGTTCCAAGTGAATTTTTGCAAGTATACTTGGGGATGTCTGCGTAGAGTAAAAGATAAGCGGCAATGTGAGAGAACCCCAAAGCTTGACAAACAGCCCTGGGCCCTGCAGTTCAGTGAAGAAGTTTCCTTCGGGCCGTCGATCTAAAGAAATGTCCAGCACCATATTGTTGATACAAGTTCACCTCCTCATTCACAACGTTGGTGGCCTTGGTGGCCTCAGAATTGGCTCGTTCCGTCCCGTATGCCGTATGCATACTTATGCATGTGTCATGTTTGTCGCCCTTCCACGTGATGGTTTGCCATCGCCAGGTGAAACAGAAGAAGTTGTCACATGTGAAAGCTGCCGGTGGCACCAAGCGATCCTTGCTCATCGCTTTGGTCCTCAGACACTCGGCACAAGACCGTGCAACAAGGGGAAGGATGAAGACATGTGGAAACAGGACATGTGGAGGTTCAGCGAATGGAGTAACTTCGTGGGAACTTGGTCCTTTTGGTGACCGCCTAGTTGAGCCTGTTTGAGCCTAGTTGTTGCAGGTTCTGAGCTGAAAGATCATGAAAGCAAGGTGCGTCCGCTGGGCGCCGAATCACTACTCCATGCGCTCACTCATTTCGGCTCAAGGTTTCCGCCTGCTTCCGGGACCAAGACACGGAGCGCCAGCAAGAAAGCTGTCGCGATGGGCAAGACCCGAGTCATCTCTAAGGGTTATCGGCATGGCACGCGCGACAAGTATTCCAAGAAGTACCGAACCAAGGGAAGACCCGGCTTGGCCAGGTACTTGGTGAACTTCAAGCGGGGAGACTATGTGGACATCGTCGCAGACCCTTCGATCCAGAAGGGCTTGCCATACTCCTTCTATCATGGCCGAACGGGCATCGTCTTCAATGTGAATCGCAATGCCCTTGGAGTCGAAATGACCAAGATTGTGGGAAACCGCCAGCTGCGCAAGCGCATTCACGTGCGCATTGAGCATGTCCGCAAGTCTCGGTGCAATGAGTCGTTCCTGCACCGGGTGAAAGAGAATGACAAGAAGAAGCAGCAGGCCAAGAAGGAGGGTAAGAGCATCGTTTGCAAGCGCATTCCGGAGGGGCCCAAGGAGATGAAGACTGTGGATGCATCGCCCGATGATGTGGAGGTGCTTGCACCTTTGCCCTTTGTGGAGAACTACTTCTAGAGAGCTCCGTGCCAGCGAAGCCGCTAGCGCAAACGATTCAGAGCAGGCCCAAAAAGTACCCTCCTATACTGCTGCTTACTATCACTACACTACATAAGCACATATATGTTGATACAATACATTTGCATGAGATGGGAACATGTGTGAACATGACCCACAACAAAAGGCTTTACGCATGGACAACGTTCCCATTCCATGTTAGTGGGCGGTGCTGTAGTTCCTGGGCGCGGTTGACGGTTGGCCTGGAACTATGCCAGCTATGCCACTGGAAAACCATTTGCGTTGAAATCCTTCCTGGTAGCAGCTGGTAGCATTTGCATCCATCACCATGTAGTTTTTGTAAGATGCCTCTTCGCTCCCCTTTTTTTCCCTGCAGCTGTGTGAGAAGTTCAAGCAGCCTTGGTTTATTAGCAGCCATTTCTTGATCCAATTCCAATTGAAGGACTCATCGCACAAACAAGCTCAAGATGGTTCCTGAAAGGCGACAACCCAGCAATAGCCCAGCAATACACTTCGATGTTTGCTGAAGAAAGTGTATATATATATATATAGTATGTGTGTATATATATATATATGTGTGTGTGTGTGAATTATATATGTGTGTAATATTGTATAACCTTGTGTAACTGTCCCTAGGTTGGCCCTCAGTTCTTACAAATCCCATAATGATGCTGATGCTCATGATTTCAACGAAACTGGTTCCTTAGGGTGAAAAAGTCTGATTCGAGTGGCCTGCCGAGTTAATTCTGTCACCCTGGTTCACCCAGTAGTTCACCCACTTTACCTGTAAAACGTGTTCGGGCGGTGGCGACGCCATGCGCCGGAAGCCTGGCATTGCCGGTCTCATCCGAGAGAAGGAACAGCAGAGTGCTTACGGGGCTGTGGGGGAGCAGCTGGAGGTGCGGAGGAACCACTCGACTGGGCTCCGCTGGCATCGTCTTGACCGGTCATCACCCATCAAAACCTCAAGAGTTTTGGCACGTGACCAAACTGACATGAGCTGCAGGGGCATCAGAGAACCCCGGCTGAGCCCGAGACAATCACTTCATGTTTTCGCTGGTGTGATGAGTGATGCGACTTGAACAGACCTACTGTATTACTAATGTCGACACCGGATTAATAACCCCCAAAGGTTTGAGATTGGATGGATTGGAGACCACATCCCCTTAATAAAGCTGATGACCTGATGATGGATGATGAGATGAGGACCTGGACCTGATGATGGATGATGGTTGATGGGATTCTGTGGGAATCATGAGAGTTTGAACCATGAGATACCATGAGAACCATGAGGGCTCTAGTATATTGGCACAAGCTTGATAAGAGATCTGATAGGATAGATCAGAGAGCCATGACCAATTGGATCACTGCATATCAGAGAAATGTGAAATAACGAATTATAAACCTAATTAAGTGTCTATTTTTTGTTATCGGGGAGCTAGGCTTGACAAATAGGGGAGGTTTTTGCTAGGAGGTTTTTAAATAGAGGGGCGTTTTTTGTGTTTGATTTGTTTTTCGAATTCTGATTTTGCTGCTTTGCTGCTTTTTTGCTTCTGCTGTTTTTTTTGCTTTTGTTCCTTTTTTGCTTTGGCAGCTGTTGTCCTTTCTCTTTTTGTTTGTGCTGTTCCATGTGTAAGCTTTGTCGATGTTTTCCTTTTGTGCATTCCTACCTATCCACAGCAGTTTGGTGCAGTTAGCAGATAAACAGCTGTCGTAGCTGGCAAAATCCATTGGAACTGTGCTGGTTTCAAATTGGTTGCAGCGTGGTCGACATTTCACAAAGTCAGCCAGTCACGCGGGAAGCATAGCAGAGAAAGAGCCGTGATGGATGGCCAAACAAGGAAGGAAGCAAGCAAGCAAGCAAGAAAGCAAGCAAGCACGAGCTGCTCACCTTTGGATCTGGTGTACTGCTGTGGGGGGGCGCTGCGCCCCCCCAACCCCACCCCGCGGCACAAAATTTGCACTTCATCTCCGACACCCGCTTCTGCCACGAAATCCATATTTTAAGTTGAACTGCCCGGGGCAAAAGCTTCTAACCAACCAAATATGCCTCCTGTGCTAGTTCTCTTTCTCGTCTTTGCTGTTTCTCTGCTAACTGCATCAAACTGTTGTGATAGGTAGGAATTTCTCTGACACCTACACTATTCCAATGTTTTTTGCCAGCTACGACAGCTCCCAAATTAGTCACCTGCACTATTCCAATGTATTTGGCCAGCTACGACACCTGCGTCTCTGCTAAGGACACGAGATTTGCTTGCTGCGACAGCTGTTATCTCTTAAGTGTCAGCCCCGCTGCCGAAACTGTTTCTTTTTCAAGATCAGCCACTCAGCCCGCCTTGGTCCGCAGTTCCTTTTCTCAGGTTGCCGTAAATAGCAGCAAACTGTGAGCCCCAAGGATTTTGAACAAAAATAGTTATTCAAAAGAAACGGTAAAATCCGAATTAAAAGTGCACCCCTTTAAAGTTAGGGTGATGTACATGTGGATTTTAGGTTTTTAATTTTGGTTTAATAATTTAATAGTTTAGTACTGGGAGCTTGAGCTGGGCTTGATTAATATTGCTTAATCCTCTGTCAACGTTGCCTGGCATAACTGACATAATGCCTTTTTTCTGTTCTCCATTCTGTAGCGGACCAGGCTCAAAGTTCAGTTGCAACTCCATTCCAACTGATCCGTGTACCACTCGGTCGACGCAGGCAGACAAAGACCAACAGGCGCGACAGCACCTGGAAACGCTGCAGAGCTCCCTGAAGAGCTTCGCCTCGAAGCATCGAAACCGCCGCTGGGTCGCATGCGGGTAGCTCGAAAAGGTTAGAAGCCCAATAGGGCACCACCCGGACATACCGAAGTTCCTGGAATTCGAGGCATCAACTCTGACCCGCAGTTTCGGAAGTCCTTCTGCGACATGTGCATTGCAGCAGGGGTGGACCCTTTGTCAAGCAGCCTCTCGGTCAAACAGCAAGCTGCATGAGACGTCCATGTGCACGCAGGGTTTTTGTGTAACTTCCAGTTTCACTAGTTTGGCTCCTTTTCAGCACCATTAAGAACCAAATCTTCTAGTGATTCCATGCGCACGTTTGCAATTGTTTGATATTGATATGTGTTGGCCATTCATGTTCATTCTTTCTCTTTGCATGACGACCCATTCACCTAAAATATCTGACCTATGTTCACTCAAATGCCGTTCCGTCGCTGAGGCAAAGGCCTTTGGGATGAGCTGCTGGGCGTCGGACAATTCTACAGCGATCTCTCGGTGCAGGCGGTCGCGAAAGCACATGATCGGCAGAAGTGCTGAAGATTGGTCCGTGGCGGTGATTGTCAAAAGCTGGTGATCTCATTCATTGTAAGCTGATGTTCTGACGTTTTTTGAAAGGCAGATGGGCAGAGAACATGAATGAACATGGCCCGATGTGATTGGGGAAAGAAGGAATCAAGGCAGAGGCAGTCCTGGAAACTACCAAGGCCCCTACAGTCCAACTGCGAAAGCCGTCTCTCATCTCCAGTGTTTGTTGAAATCAGATTTGCAGGAAGTTGTCTCTTGTTAAGTTGTCCCACCTTTCTTCATCGCCCAGCGATTGAAGTGCGTTCTTCCGCAGAATCGGCCACCTTCGCCCACTCGCAGGTGCTCACACAGTGTATGCGCACCCGGGACGAGAATGGCGGTCTACTGGACCTCCGGCAGTGCTTGGCGAACGTGCGACGCGCTCGGCCTGGGGAGAAGTTGGCGCTGGAGGATTTGGAGCGGGCCGTGGAGTGTTTGGCACAGTCGCTTGGCAGGATTGGATGTGCCTTCAACCAAGCTACACACAATATATATAGTTATATAACAACAATTTCATAATATACCTTAATATACTGTACTTCTTTTTATTGGTGCTTGCTGACTTGAAGCAAATTAAGGTTCTAGTGGGGGCGAGGTCTGACAAGGTCCTTCAGGGATGATGTGGTTTGATGGGGATGATGCAGGAAGGTCGTCTTGCATTGCCCCACTGCAAACACCAAGATGTGCTCCATCCGGAATGTGAATACGGATGAAAAGGCAGCCCCAGACATTCCACAGTGTTCACTCTGATTGTGTGCTGCATCTCACCAGCAGCGACCATGGTGCACGGCATGGTCAACGAGTCACCTTGGTGCGACCCTGTGGAGGCTGGGCCCTGGCGTCTCCATCCGCTTCTGTGGCCGGCAACGGCTTTTGTGCTCCGTGCCCGACGAGCTCAGTGGGGACACGGCACAGGTGATAGAGCTGGCAGCGGCCACTGGACAGCCAGCGAGAGAGGTGCACGTGTTGGCAGGGTGTGTGGTCCCTGAGGTGCGGAGGATTCTGATAAGGTTTGGCCATATAACATGGGTTGAGGCAAGCCGAATCCCAAAACATTGGATGGTGCGAAGGGACTGCAACCACAACAGGGCCAGGACTCATACGGTTCCGCGAAACATGCATAGATTGCATAGAGGCATAGAGTATGTTTTTGGTTCATTCTTGATATTCTTGGATGTGAATGTGGGATGCGGCATGTTGACTGGTTTTGACTGGTTAGTACAGGTCTTCACATGCAAAGATGGAGATCCACTGATGCCTAATCCAACAGAAGAGTTCCAACCAACTCCGCCATTGGATCTTAAGTAAGTAAATAGTTTTTTCAATGTTGGATTGCAATGTGCCCTAATTGTGTGGAACATGCATGAATCACCATGAATCTATAATAATCTATACAAATATAACTTAACTGCATTTAGTGACTGTAGTTATATATTAGTTATTTAGTTATATACATAGAGTTAGTTATATATATACACATGCTATGGACCCGCCTTACCTTCCAATCTCCACCGACTGTTTCAGGGTTCTCCAATCCCGGCTGAACCGCCCCGACAACTGCTTGGAAGCAGCCTCCAAGCGGCGATGGATGTAATTAAGGCATCCGGCGGGAAAGTGTGCGCAGCCGACCTTTTGAGGACCGTATCAGCACACGCCGACGGAGGTGTCCACTGAAGAAACATGGGTTTGAAGAGTTTGGACAGGTTATGAACAGGTGGCATCCCGTAGAAAAACACAGTTTTTCGAACTGTGTGTGTTTTGTAAAATGTTCAACCTTCTAAACTCCTTCTCTGAAGTTCAGCTTTCTCTCGGAGCAGCGAGCAAGAGTAAAGGCGGGTTTTGCAAAGGTTTAAAGTCATGATAATCTGAGAGTTATACAACAACTCCGAAAAGCTTTGATCATGGATCGTATGCTATGAAGGTGGCAAGAGCACAAAATTTGTCAATAGGGATGGGGTCCCAGTATAGTCGCTATACAGGTACATGCCATATACTTTTGGCTCAAGTGCCCAACCAGGTAAAAAGGAGCTTTAGCGCGCGAGCTTCATGTTGACCTAAGAGCTAGAACGGGGCCAGGGCACACCTTTCCATCCGTTCGCAAAATTAAAGGGAATCAAACTTAAGCTCGTGGGTTCCTCATGATTCCTTTGTACTTTGTTTGCGCAATGAAGTATTGTTACAACGCCATCTCAATGTCAATCTCTTATAGATGCATTCCTGCAAATTCCAGGCCACAAAACTAATCTTGCAGCAAGGCGGAACTTGAGCAGAACCACCTCAAGATAGCGCTCATGCGAATGATCCTGTAAGCTTATTACCGCCATGGTTTGGGCAATCTCTGAGACATACAATGCACCCAAGTAAACTTAGCATTTGCAGAACACGAACTTGGACTGAACTTAATAGTTTCTATTGTTTTTCTCGGTCTTCAGGATGTTTGCCGCAAGTCTTGGGAGGGCTCAGTCCTCAAAATTGCTTTGCACCTACCCAGTGTATGAACGAAGGGCAGCTTTGCGGTCTCGTAGGCCCACAACTCGCAAAAGAGTCTTCTGAGGATTACATGCACATTTTGGTACAGTATCCGTCCATTGTCATTTGACTCGGTGACATGCTACCTCAGAACACAGGATTTCCAGATCCTTAGCTATCCATAGCTGCACTAAGTGACCTTCTCATGTATGAAGGAATGTGATTTTGTAGCACCTGGTAAGGAGGACCTAATTAGGAATCATGTTGGAGTGACAGTCTAGAACTACTACAACACACACACAAAGCAGATTTGAGAATATGACCATGCAAACACATGAAGATTCAATGTGTTCAAGTCTGGGCATGGTATCCCGTGTGTCCATTTAAAAGGTCAAGTTCTTCAGTTGACATGTGTCATCCAATCGGCATCGTGTCCAGTTGACATGTCGTTGGTTTAGTCTTCTTGCGTATTCTGTGCTGTCCCAAAGAGGAACAGGACGGTTTGTCTTCGTGACAGGAAAGGCTGGACCACGGATCGCGCGGACCAAGCGCTCTTGCATTGTATCCGGGCAGCTTGGCGGCTTTCAATCGCCCACTGGGCAGTCATATTAGTCACCAGTGTCGTGAACGTTGGTCTTTGTTCAACTCATGTGCTGCATATTTGATCTATTTGATCGTATGTGTGCATCCTGTCCAGGCAAGATGCAAAAGGGAACAGTTGTTTCATGTTGCTTCAAAGACCCTGTCTCAATGGTATCATTGTCGAAGATGTACGCCACTGCACTGGAGATGGTAGGGCATCTCTTGGGTATGGCATGATATGCCAGTTTAAAGTATTGGAAGTGGTTCCCGGTGGCCGGCATGGGCCTGCAACTTAGGAGGGCCTATGCTGGGTGGATAAGCAGGACGAAGCGGTGCCCTTGTGGTGTTGGTTTCCTAGCGTCTTGATTGCATGTGTGGGGGCTGAGTGAAATCAAATTGCAAACCAGTTTGATTGCATTGTGTTCTTTGATTCTGCTCTGCTACCAAGGTGAACGGTAAAAAGATTTCAGCAGCCTCCATTTGTTTTCGCGGGACAAATGAGGTATCGCCTTGGCAGAGCTGGAGAAGCCAATGAGTGAGAGCACGGCATGAGAGGATGGTGAAGTTCTTTCATCAGACCCATTTGCGGGACTAATTAATTTTAGTAATTAGCTGTTGTTGGTGAAGGACACACAAACCGCAGTTCGCAACGAGATAGGAAAGAACAATACATGATATGTATGAAGGTAGCGCATGTTTAATCAGTTTGCTTACGAAGTTCTGGGAAGCAAGCCGAGCTGACCAAGACACATTCAGACAATGAGTGACTTCATGCATGTTTCCTAGCAGGCTAGCAGGTAGTCAACGGCCTTTTCCCAACCAAGCTGGGTTGAGTGGTTCAGGCTTTATACAGGAATTCTGTGAGGCATACCTGCGAATGGGCTCGTTCAAGTTCTTTGATCGGAGGATCCAACTGCGATTGACGTTTCACCAGGAGGCACTGGAATTCTCTATGCTGAAGCCTGCAAAGGACGCAAAAGTAGCAATTCGAGAATCAGCAACGATTTGCTTTTAACGAAAAATACCGTGATGTTTGCTTTCTGAGAAGGCCACAATTCAGTGCCCACAAAAGAGTCGCAGAGAAAAGGCTTCGGTGAAGCAAGAGTCACGATGAGTGATGCCCGAGAAGGAGAAACTCCTTGAACCAAACCTGGTCCCAAATCATCTCAGGCGCGCCACCAGCAACTCTCACCTTTTGCATTGTCCAAATTGAACTCATATCATCCCCAGACTAGCCAAGGGCATCGGTAGCTTTGTCGTCACCAGATGTTGCACAGTTTTTGCATATTTGCGCCGCTTTCTTCTCACCAAGGTATCGTGAACAGCAAAGCCGCATCTCTTAAAGAGCTGACACTGGCCTGCACTGAGGATTTCATGGCAACAACTATTTTATGTTTACTAACTCCAAGAAAGTATCCTCCTTTTGCATAGGCCAAGTGGGGCTGTTAGAATACCAGACTAGACAGCCAAGCAACTGGGCAACTTGTTTGAGGTGGGAACTACTGGATTCATACAAGCTGCGGAAGGCCTTTAACGATCTCTTGTACACGGAGGATGACTGGAGTCAGACGTCGAAGCTGCTCAATCGAAGTTAGTGAAGGTCTCCGGAGGAATTGAATGCAAAAGTTGACCTTGCTCATTTCATCCTGCAAACTTCCATTGCCCTCCAAACTGGCCTTGGGAGAGATTTCATCGGTTTTGGACTGCTACCCACAGAGGTAGAAGGAGAGAGATGACAGTGGGAGATGACAGTAGTCGCAGAGCTGTGCGTTTACCCTAGCTCACAAGGAAGGGCATCCGTGAATGGTGGTTGTATGATGTTGTGTATACAGTTGGTCATGCCGGGGCGGTCGGACTTGGAGGTGCGTCCTTGAGATGGGGGGTACCTTGGTTAAATATTCCAGGTTATACCGTGAGTTCACAGAATATTTTTTATGGAATATTTTTACAGGAATATTTATGGCTGGAGGTATGTGATACTGATAGTGGAGACAAACCCCAGAATATGTTTTTTTAAATGAAGAACATGTTGGAGGAGTGATGAACAGTGGGCAATCCTGAGAAGAAGGGTGGAACTATACCCAGAATAACTATATATTTAAAAAATAAATAGAACTATACCCTGGAATATTTAATCAGATCTGGTGCGGTTTCGCTTGGAACACTGAATGCTTTTCGTATTCTGTTATTGACCCTGCGTTCCGGGTACTTGGCGGAATCAGCCGGCCAGCCACCTATCAAAGTATCCGGCGGAATCAGCCAGCCAGCTAGCTAAAAAGTATCCGGTGGAATCAGCCAGACAGCCAGCAAAATATCCGGCGGAATCAGCCGGCCAGCCACCAAAAGTACCCGGCGGCTGGCGGAATCAGGCACATAAAGGGGTCCGTATAAATGCTATGTTGTTATATCTCTTACACACCTATATAAGTTCAATGAGACTTCAAAGCTGTGGATTGCTGTACGTGTGTAAAGGTTATCGAGCGGTTGACGGAAAGGGAACTTGAGGTACTATACCTGGTAACTGAGTTGTAGTTACCCTGGGTATCTATACTTGCGCCAGCTGAGTAAGGACGGGGTTTCGCGGGGGTGGCCTGAGAAAGCACACTCGAAAGCAAAAACGCTGGCTTTCGTTTTGCCGCTTCTCAGGTTGTTTATGTTTTTTGCCTTGCTGGCAGGAAGCCTTCCCAGGGGGACGCGTACATGGCTTCACTTTTTGGCCCGAAGGGTTGATCAAGGAGGCAAGGTTCCAACCAATCAATCAGTCAATCAACCTTTACGCGCGCAAAAACATCGGCTCAGGTGGAAATTGCTAACAATGCTCTGTCCAATGTTGCTGCGCTCCCACAAGAGCTTCGTTCCCATGGAACAACAAACAACAAACAACCAGCAACCAACAACAACAACAACAACAACATGACTTTGCTTTCCCACAGCGGCCTCAGAGAGGCATGTTTGCGATGCGCCAGCATGTCGGAAAGCTGCAGTGCAGTTTGCGTGGACAGCGCGCATCAGAGCTCTTTTGACACGTGGCAAACATCAGACAAAATGAGCTTCTAGGATCTGAAGGGTTTAGCCATCAGTGGCATGGCAATGTGACTAGTTCTTTGACTATGATATAGTGGATCAATTTGTATTGTTGAACGAAGCCCGAAGCCATCACTAGCCTACACTACTTGTGGCGCCTCTTACCATTTGGCACCAATACTTGTTTGGTCCATGTTTCCTTCATTAGCCAACTGTGTGTGCCAAAAGTAAAGAATATGTGAACTTTCAGCTACTTTTGAAAGAACGCATTTTGACCAGATCAGATTCAAACTCGCTTTTCCCGGACCGCCGCCACTCTTTCTGGTTTTAGCGCGGCGTTCCCCAGAACTAGTCACACCGCATTTGGGTAGTGCGGTGGGGTCCTCTGAACCTCTAACTGCGGTACACTGAAACTCCACGGCCCGTGGAGCTGGGACTTGTGTAAAGGACCATTCTCACTCAAAATAGGTGGGAACTGTGGCCGGCACCTCGTCTGTACACGCGAAAAGTGACTCAGCTGTACGCGCGAATGAGATGCCGGAAGCCACCTATGAAAGTATCCAGCGGAATCAGCCAGCCAGCCACCTATCAAATTCCCGACGCAATCAGCCAGCCACCTATCACAGTATCCGGGAGAATCAGCCAGCCAGCCACCTATCCAAGTGGCCGGCGGAATCTGCCAGCCAGCCAGCCAGCTATCAAAGTATGCGGTGGAATCAGCCAGCCAGCAACCTATCAAAGTAGCCGGCGGAATCAGCCAGCCAGCCACCAAAGTACCCGGCGGAATCAGC